ACCTCGCCGTCGCGCTCGACGTGCACGCGCGCGGCGTGCCGTCCCAGAAAAACGGCTGCCATCTACCAGGTCTCGCCACATCTCGCCATCTCTCCCCAGATGTCCGTTCGTCGACTTGCAGGTGGCGGCGGTCCGGCGGCGGCACCAGCTCTCCGGCTCGCGCGCAAAGGCGATCGAGAAGCTGGTGGCCCCTCATCTTTGTGACGGCGGCCTCCGGAGGTGTGAACAGCGTCTCTTCACACCCACTGCTGTGAGCAGGTGACCCAGCTCGCCGAGCTCGAGACCAAGCAGTCGCTCGACGCTGTCCTCGAGGCGCGACCCTAGCAGCACATTGTGGAAATAAAAGAAACACGCCGCGCAAACACGGCGCGGCTGTGTCCGCCCGCCCGTTCTGCTCGTGAGTCCCTACACCGGAGACCGGAGAACCGCCCCCCACACCTCCCCGTATTCCCCTGCATCTCCCCGTATCTCGTGCTCTAGAGGCGGAATCTCGTGTCTCCGTGTGACCCAGCTCGCGAGGACACGCTGTGTTGGCTGTATTCGTACCCCTCGTACTCACTCGGTGCTCTGAAGACTCTGCACGAGACCGTATTCGCGCCCTGAGGCTGGCGTTTTCACGCCATCGCCGCCGCCTCCCTCGCCACCGCCGCCCTCGCCGCCACCCCCGTCACCACCGCCTCCGAGCCCGCCCCCGCCCTCGCCTCCGCCGCCCTCGCCACCACCCCCGTCTCCGCGCCACCGCCGAGCCCTCCCCCGCCCTCTCCCCCTCCGCCCTCACCGCCGCCGCCCTCGCCGCCGCCGCCCTCGCCGCCGCCACCGAGCCCGCCGCCACCGTCACCCCCGCCCCCGTAGCCGCCACCTCCCTCACCGCCACCGCCCAGCCCGCCGCCGCCATCTCCCCCACCGCCCTCACCGCCACGCTGCCAGCGCAGCCGCCGGGCGACGCGACAGCGGCTAGCGGCCGGGAGAGCCTCTCCAGTGCGGGCTGGGGGCGGCGGCGGCACTCTGCGGGTGGCGGGCGAGCTGCTGGCTGGCCGGCGGCGCGTCTCGACTCAAATTATGGGCCGCGGTCGGGCTGCACCTCTGCTGCACCTCGGGAATTCGTGCGTGTGTCACACAAAACCCAAATCCGCCTCAGTTAAGAACGGTGTGGGCCCTCGACCGCG